ATTGTCTGGTTCACAGGCCCGCACTTGATCCACTGAGCTACACCAGCCAGGGCTGTTATATTCTTATTTTTTAAATTTCCCCCCAAGGGTATGTTTATTGGTTTTAGAGAAAGAGGGAGGGAGGGAGAGAGAGAGAGAGAGAGAGAGAGAGAGAGAAATGCTTTGTATATGGGGCTGGACTGGGATTGAACCTGAGATCTAGGCATGTGTCCTGACTGAGAATCGACCTCTCAACCCTTCGGTTCAGGCGACAATGCTCCAACTAATGAAGTTACCAGGCCGAAGTCATTATTCCCTTTATTAAGGTACTTAGTGGACATAGCGGCTGGTTGTGTGTATAAAGATAGATACAAATGCCCTCAGACATTTGTTTTGGTTTGATAACTTTGGTGGTGAATATTGAAGTGTGGTTACAAGTGTGGTTTAAGGGAAATGAATTAGCTCAAAAATTGAAGGTGATAAATGATATTTTCTAACCAAACTGAAATATTTTTTTTCTGTCATGTACTTAATATCTAAGAACAGTATAATATGATTATCCCAGTTACTTATTGGGGTCAGAAAATCTTTTTAAATACACATATGACATCAAAATGTTAAGTATGTGTTAGTTTACCTCTATGCTATATATCTTTCATGGACCAGCATCTTAGAGAGCTATAGGTGTGAACCGTGCCTTTTAAAGAAATGATCACTTCTACCTACATAAAAAGCTCTTCTTTGATCTTCATTTCTTTCTCTGTCTTGTTTTTCTCACAATCACCTCTTTTCTCACTTTAACTTCTTGCCATGTCTCTCTGTCAGATGTCTTTGTTGACCTCCCTTTTCCTGGGTCCTGGAGATGGGTCACGGTGGTGCCTGCAGCTGCCCCCCCCCCCCCCCCAGGATCCTGGCTGGGCCAGCATGAGTAGGGAGGAGAGGGGAGAGAGCTGCACAGTTTGACTGCTTTATTGTTCTTAGCTGCACCAATGGGAGACATCAAAGAAATAGAACATATTTTGTTCAGTTTAATATGCCTCAGTAGAGGGCATCCTAATTTTACATGACATGGGAGAAGGCATATCTTTCCAATTCTTTCCCACTGGGTATGTCAGTAAAACAGGAATGCGAAAACATGTGAGAGATGGGTTGTTATGACAGGGCCTGCTGGAGTTATAGGGCATTGTGGTGGTTAAATTATAGCTTACGATGCTGTAGCAGATGAAAATCGATTTCTCATGACTGTGATTTTATTAGTTTCCCACTGCTGTCATAAGAAATTACTAAAAACTCAGTGACTTAAACAACACAAACTTTTCATTACAGTTCTGAAGGTCAGAAGTCCTAAAACCAAAGAGTTGGTAAGGCTATATTCCTTCTGGAGGCTCCAAAGGGGAACTCGTTCCTTGATTTTGTCAGCTTCTACTCCACCCATATTCCTTGGCTTCTGTTTTTCAAAGCAGTATTCACACCACTCTCACCTCAGAGAGAAGTCATTACAGCTCTTTGAAACTGTGAGACTCTTAGAAGGGCCCTGTGGTTACATTGGACCCACCTATGTAATTGAAGAAAATCTCCCCATCTCAAAATCCTTCACTTATTACATCTGTCAAGTAAGGTACCTGCCTGCCCCCTTCAAGAATTTTCAGAATTTGACTGTGAACATCTTTGGGGGGCCCATTCTTCCAATCACATAACTGTTCTACAACCAGCTGCTTGCCTTTTACTACTATTGATAACAGTCTTAGGTAAATTGAAGTCAGCTGGACTATACCATTTTTACTCTTTTGAGTCCTCTTTATAAGACAGAACAACTGCAGTCTAATGAATCTACAGATCAGCATGAGTTCATATGCCCAGAGCCTTCCTGATTCATTCATTCTCTGTACTTGATGCAGAGAACCCACTGGGTTTTGAAATCTCTTGGCTATTGTGCCTACTAATCATATAAATCAAAATTAGTCTTCTGGCTGAAGATGTTGAATCCACAAAATTCCAATTCTATCTCTCCACTAAGATGTGACAGTTCTAAGAGCTTGTAAGAGTTGTTAATGTGCCTGCTCATGCCAATTTCCCCAAAGAATAATATAAAAACATTGCATCATCAAGTTAAATGTGTGACTTACTGTCAGTATCAGCCAGCACGAGGCCTTTCTACAGAAATTTTAAGAGAGAGATATCTTGCCTCAGCCCAAAAGTTCTTCATTCTCTTTGTCTCCATACTGCGAGTAGAGAAACTGGCATGGAGAGGGTGAGGAAAACGATGAACAGTGAGAAAGAAGAGATGACAGACATCATGTGGTAACTTGCAGGATATATACAATGCCACACTGAGGACAACGGGACATACCCAAGGACTCCGGGTACGTGAGGAGGGCTAGGAAGAAGTCCAGGGTTATCACTGGGTATTTTGGCTTGGGGACACTGGATGTAGGTAAGCTCCATTTACTGTGGTGGGAAACAAAAGAAGAGCAGTGTTTGTAGGTAAGATACAGGTTAAGTTGGAATTGCTTATGGGCCATCCAAGGGGAAGTGGCTGGCATGCAATTGGCTATATGGGTCTTAGGCTCAGGAGAGATTTGGTCTTGCAGTTCAGGTTTATGACTCATCAGTGTAAGCATGGTGATTGAGAACACTGCTGGACAAGAGAAGATGGCATAAGAGAGAGACCTGAGGAGCACCAACATTTAGAGGACAGGTGGAGGGAAAGCCTGAAAAGGAGACTAAGGAATGGCTAGAGAGGTAATTGTAATTCAGAAAGAGTTAACATATCACAAAAATTTGTAGCCATTTCTTGGGTGCTAGTATTGGAAACATGTTTAATCACAATTCAATGTGACTTGAAAATTGTTACTTATATATAATGGGACCAATAATTTCTTATTTGCATGACAGGGTTACGAGGTTCAAGTAAAAATGTTTTTGAAAATACTTTGTAAAGTGTTATACATGAGTGGTACATGAATGCGCATCAAAATCATTAGGAAGACTTGGCAAAGACACAGATTGCTGTGTTTCTGATTTAGTCATAGCAGTAGTTTTAGATTCTACTGAATTTGAATTTTGCCTAGAGACTCTGATGCTGATATTGCTGGTCTTGGGACTACCCCTAAGGAACTACTACGTAAAACAAATGTAAGGCATTATACTTTTGATTTTACAGCAAAATTCACTGTTTCTTCCAATGTTTTGGCCGTTTCATCCCCTAATCTTTTTTTCACTCCTATGCTTCCCATCAACAGATGTTTCCGAAACATCCTTGTTCTCCTTGGTACCTAGTAGTACTCGTGTAAGTATTTGAGAGATCAGCCTAGTGTAGTATTGTGTTGATTATTTACATAGCCCGATTAAGAATAGGCAAATTTTTTTTTTTTTTTTTGTGGGGAGGAGGTGATAAGAAACTCTTTGGAGTGAGAGGTGGGATTTATTTTTTTTTCAAAGTCAATTAGATGTAGAGTGCTATTTGTTACCTACTTTCAAAAATCCCATTAAAGAACTTGTAATTTGAGCCAGAGGGAACAGCATGAGTAGAGTCAGGTAAGAGGAAAAATTGACCTCATTCTTCAGTCCTTTCCTAAATGCTGAGAAATGTACACCTCAACGCTGCCTTTTTCAATCCCACAAACCAGGGAATCAGGAAAACGCATTAGCACCCTAGCACAGACTAGGAACACAGAGCCGGGAGGCGACTCGGTCCGTCATGACAGAAGGAAACTGGGGGAGGGGGAAAAAAAACTTCCTTAGGTGGAGAATCTGCAGGGTCCTGGGAAGAGAAGGGAAGTGGGGAAATGTACCTCGGGCGTCAGCCAGACACTTTGCCTCTGGGCATGTGGGAAAAGTGAGGGAGGAGGGAGAAAGGCTGCCCAAAGCGAGACCCCAAGAGCTTCCGCTGCTTCTTTTGAGTGAAGATCTGGAGAGCTGGAGCTTTCTGCTCCACTTCTTCCCGCCTGGAGGCCATTTAACTGTGATGAAAAGGGAGCACCGGGTAGAGGCAGTCTAAGCCACTGTCGGAGCCTCGCCCAAGGGCAGACCCTGGTTCTGTCCCTGGCCTAGGCGGGAGAAGTGGCCCTCCGGACCCTGAAGTTATTCGGGGAGGAGGGGGAGGGGTCATCAAGCTCTTCTCCAATCACTGTGACCAGTCCATTATTTGCATATCTTATGCTAATGAACCCCTGGCTCTGCTCCTCCGCCCCCTGGGGGTCCAAGGGCCCCAGTGGGCCAGGCGAAGGTGAATACATTAGGATAATGAGGCGGGCTCGCCGGCACTGGAGGGGGTGCGCTGCCGGGGGCACAGACCCAGCCCACACCCAGAGAGGAGGGGGCGGGGGCGGGACGTCGGCTCCGGGCGCGCGCGCACTCCCACACACACTCACATACAAGCATCTCGAAGTGTATTTAAGGCTCGCACGCGAGGCTGCGGAGATCCTTGGGGCTGCCGCGACTTGGGCTTTGCCGTTCGCTTTTGCTCCTCCTGGGCTGTTTCGTTTCCTCTGTTCTTTGCCCCCCGCTACCCCTTCTGCCCTGCGCTCCTGCCGCGGGTCTCCCATCGCTGCTCTCAGCCTTTTTGCCTGGAACTGAGTCCAGGTGGGAAACAGTTGGCGTGCGGAGAAACACCGACTAGGCAGAAATCAGGGGAACTAACAGAAACGCAACAGGTCCCCGTTGCGGGGCGAGGGGAGCGGCACACGCCGCAGCCCTCGCCCACTGTCCCCTGACCTCGGAATAGGTGTCTGTCCTTTAGGGACCAGCGGGGCCATCCGGGTGGGTTTCATCCCGGTCTTCATCTCATTGCCATCCGTCCCTAGACTGAGGGTGCTCTTCCCCCCCAGCTGGGAAGGGAGAAGAAGGCGAAGGACTGACTGTCTGCGACTGCTGGTCTCGGCGCTGAGGACAGTGGGGGTCCACCTCCTCGCGCCCCTGCTCCTACTACACCAACTAGTTGTGCAGCCACGCTGATTGAACTTTGAAGGAAACGTCCTATTTCTTTCCTTTTAATATTATTGGAAGTGGTACAGGGTGGGAGGCAGCCGACCCCGCCACTATGCTGCTGAAGAAGCCTGCAGCGAAAGGAGGGGCCCGGGAGCCGGCGGAGGACCCAAGCCCCACTGGGCAGCGTTGTGCCAGAACCGTACCCTCGTGCGCGGTCCTGGCGGCCCTCCTATCAGTGGTGGCCGCGTTGTCTTGTCTGTACCTGGGGGTGAAAACCAACGACCTCCAGGCGAGGATCGCCGCTCTCGAATCCGCCAAAGGGGATCCTTCCATCCGTCTGCTTCCTGATTGTGTGGATCAGCTGAACGCAATGGTGCAAGAGAAAGTGGAGCGACTTCTGGCTCAGGTGTGAAAGGCTGGGGTATTTTGCACGTGGATAACATTTTGCACACGCGTGATTCTGTGTATATGATCAACCTCTACCCTTACTGTCCACATACTTGGTGTGGCTGTGTGTGCATATGCTAGGCGACCATGTCAGTGTAGAATATATTTGTATGTGCACATCCTTTGGTATGATCCTCTCTGTGTGTATCATCTTCCCTTAGTCTTCTGAATGTTTGCACGTTAAACATATACGGAGCTCTAAAAGAGGGAAGGGTGGCGTTTAATTTTCTTTTAGTTTTCCAGACTCTCATCTGAATCTTTCTTAATTTTGTAGAGAATGTTCCTTGCAGAGATAACCTTATGTTCTTCATATGTTCTAAGAAGGTTAGGACCATAGGGTTAACATATGGTAATCACTCTTGAGAGTAAAATAACCATCCATGTGATCTCAAACCAGTCATTTTGTACATTTAATGTTCTCATATTAAGTGTTTAAAAATAAAGTATAGTAGCTGAATTTTTTTGTGTAAAAGTGCCATTTGACTTGAGCGTTCAAAATAATCTATATTACATATCCAAATTAGGGGCCGCTTTAGATGAGAATTAGGAGATTTTCTGAAACTTGCTCTTCCAACACAGAGCCTATTTGGCAGCAGTTGCAGCACAATATGATAGGCAGTTGACCTTCCTGTGTAAAACATGGGCTGTTTTAAAACATATAACTTACCTAGGACTGCAACATGTTAGTGCCAGGTTTTTGCATTGACTGCCTATGTCTGAGCTGAGGGAGAAGGCGGTGGCAGTTGAACAATGGAAAAAGATGTTACACAAGTCCGGCGGTCTTGATATTGGGTCAATGATCATTTTCTTTTTTTTAGGGCTTGGGTAGGGTTACCTTTTGACTAAAGTCCAAGTACATATGTAAACTTTAGTATGTAAGCTATCGAATGCTGGTGAACCAAGCATATGGCCAGAGAATCCCTAAAGAACCCATTTCTCTATGATGCTACTGATGACTCTTAATCTCTTCCCCCCCTGCAGAAATCCTATGAACATATGGCTAAAATAAGAATCGCAAGAGAAGCACCTTCAGAATGCAACTGCCCAGCAGGTAAAATGGAACTTGTTTAACAAGGTTGGCTCCATAGCAGAGCATTTTAAAATAAAAGTCCTGTGTCTGTCAAGTCTACCTGTAGTAATAGTAAAGAAAGAATGCAGACTTAACTTACTTGAATAAAGTCAATGTGTCTCAGTCAAAAGAATGGCAAATAAAGCCCCAAATATTATTTTAAGCAGCAAACCAAGGTTTGTTATGGAGGGCAAAGGAGAGAGATGATCACCAAGGAAAATATGGCAAGATGATGTACAAAGATGAAATTCATAGAGTCTCAGATTGAAAATATTGTTCAATTTTATTCAATTTTACTGTCTATGGTGAAAAAGACTGTAGAACACGTTACATTCTGAATTCTCTGGTGGTGAATGTTGGATTAGTACAGGTTTCCATTTGCTACTTTTGACATGTTAGTAAAGGACCTTAACTCCTTTCCTGCTTTTATTCTTGTCTATCAAAAAGGTTCTCCTATCCTATAGCACAGGGAAATTAGTAGTTCTTTATCTTGAGCTCTCCATTGCAAACTACTGCATTCTCAATGACCTCTCAGAAAAGGCTCTTACATTTTCTACCATTTTTTGGTGTGCAGTTTTAGGGGATTATATTAATGAAAGCACATTAGTAGAAGGGTGAAAAAGAGATATCGAAGGAAGAAACCTGTAGGTAATCATCAAATCTTCCTTTACTGACCTCTGAGGCTAGGAATCTGTAGACCTAATAGTTTAGAAGCCCTGGGAATATGTCTGTTGGAAAACATCTAGTGGATTCAAGTGATAAAAGCCATGGAAAACTCTCAGAAGTCAAGATATTTATTTCAGATAAATGTTGTTAATGTGTTTATGAACATTCCATTTCTTTTACAATCACTTATGGAAGAGTGAGTCTGTTACATTTTCTGTAACATTCAGTAACATGATGCTTAGATACTTATATATGGAAAGGCTACTTCCTGTATTTTTTCATATTCTGAGTTTTTTTCCTTCGTGATAATACAGCTAAATCAGCTAAATGTTTAGAAATTTTAAATGTGAATTCCCAGTTGTACATCATGAAAGTTTTACTATTTATGTTCTACTACATTGTTGACCATAATAGAGCTGTATTTTCTGTAAATGAAGCCCTTTCAATTGAGAAGACATATACATTAAGTAATAGGGAAATAAGTTAATGTTTGTTTTGACATTGTGGGTTTCATTCTTGGTTGTTTTAAGTTGGAAAAGACCTCAGACGTCAGAAATTCAAGGAAAGCACTTTTCTAGTGTAGGGATTAACTTGTAAAAACCTCATCAGCCTGGAAGGATTATTTAAATTCCTAAAACAGTTGGTATAAGACTTCACTAGTCATGCCACTTAGGGTCCAGCATTTTCTCTATTTGCTACTCTTGTGAGCTGTGTGAAAAATAACTAGTGTTTAACTAATAGGATTCCTAGTGAACTGGGTAAAAACTTAGAAGAGTGACAACCACATTACTGTGCTATTTTTGTTTTTGTTTTGAATTTAACTCTTTCATCATGTTTGACATAAGCTAGTTGTTGAGGTCTCAAGTGTAACCTGGAAGAAAGATATATTTAGTTTACCTGACCTTATCTTGGAAGATCATCTTTCTTTTTAACATGTTAATTGAATAATAAATGGTGAGTTCACAATAACAGACAAATAAGTAATAAATGGTAAACTCCTTGGCTGTTTTGTTGGCCCTCACTCGTGGCTGCTTTACTTTCTTGCCACCACTAGAGCTCCACATTACATCAGTTTTCACCAGGTTCCTTGAGAGGTAAATATTTGAAGGTGCACAGTTCAATGCACAGAATCAAACAGGTTTCTTGGTGACAAATTGCTGCTTGTGGAATAATTAAATATCATCGGAATAAGGCATTATGTTCAAAGTAGTGTCCCGGGGAAAAACTAGTTATTCTGAGTTATGGTCAGTGAGTTATTGTTTTAGGGAATGGACAGGCTAGCCAAGAGGATTAGAAAGGAGATACAGCACTTCCCACCTGGTTTGTGAGAGCCAGGCTTTGGCTGTAACCCGGGTTTGCAGTGACTAAATGTTGTCACCCAGACATCTGTTAGTAGGGCAGAGTGAGACAAGTCTGTGACCTCAGCTTGCTCAGTTCCTGTGGACAGATGCCCACCCCTTGAAGTTGACACTCTTGTTGACAGTCTCCGTCACAGAGCCAAGGTCTGATAGCAAAGGATTAAAGCTGTGTTGTTTGTGTTCCCTTTAAGTGCTTTTGATAGAACTCAGTGCCAGTGAGGTTTATCCAGGTAGGCTACAAGGAAATCATAGAATTTATCCATTTTTAAAATAGATTTTTTTTAAACACAGGAAGGAGAGGGATGAGAAAGAATATAATTGAATAGTTTCTAATTATAAGAGAAGTCCTTTCTCATTTAATCTTTGCAACAACCTTAAGAATTAAGTATTAGTGATCATTAGGAAACAGGACTCAGAAGGTGATAAATTTAACATAGTAAAGGCAAGGTCAGGATTCATGCCCACATCTGGTAGAATAAAAAATGTCCAAAGTTTAGTGAGGAATAGAGAATGGGTACAGGTTTGGGAGCTGGACAGCTGTGCATTGAAATCCTGGGTCTGTTGCTGAATGACTGTGTGAACTTTGTCAAACTATCGAATTCTATATTCCAGTTTCCTCATCTGCAGACAAGTAGCTAATAATAATACCTTCCTCATAGGATGATAATTTAAACAGTCTGGCATATTAGTGGCTGTTCATTAGATAATAGCAATTATTATTCTTTTTACTGTATTATAGGCTATTTAACTCTGATCTTGCTCATAAGGACACGTGACAGAGGTGGGGAAACTGAGGTCTGGAGATGTGTCACTTGCTGAAAGGCCGATGGCTGATGGCAGGTTTTGGACTAGAACACTATGCTGCAGTAAACAAAATATGTATAGGTCATTCATGCAGATACTCAAAGGACTCAGTATGTCAGTGCTACATGTTTGTATTGGTCTATCAAATAATTTTTACCCAAATTGCAGAAAAAACTTTTGAATATGTAGGTAAATCATGATTGAAGTAGATAAAACATAGGCTTAAAAGACTATGAGGATATTAAAAAATTTTTTTACAGTTTTGATACCAGATGTTTACAAAAAGAAATACCGTAACTTTTAACTCATTTTCACACTTATTTTAACAGGTTTATTGAAGTATAATTTATAATAATTCCTCATTTTAAGTGTATGATTTAAAAATTAAAATAATAAATTTATGGAGTTGAGCAATCATCACCACAGTCCAATTTTAGAGCACCTTTGTCATCTCTGAAAATTCACATTTACTTTTTTTCATGTGCTCAGAAGCTCTGTTTTTAAATATTTGCATTAAAAAAACCCCAAATAAGATAAAATAAAAAAAAACATTCCAATGGAGCTCTGGATAGCAGAATATTTGATTCCATAGTAGCTGAACAATGGAAATTCAGGTGGCATCTGTGGTTTGGCCTCTGTTAAACTTGACTCTCATATTTGTGAATAAGTCGGCTTTTTACTCTGGCTATAGAATTCATTTAGGATTTTGTTCTTGAAGTCCAACAGAAAAGTATGTGTAAACCAGGCATATGTATGGGAGGATTTCTATGTTCCAACTGAAAAAAACAACAACACTGGGAGCCGGGCAGCCAACCAAATGATGTTTAGATCACAAAGGTTTCTGTGCCTTACTCATCAGCAGTGTTGCTTGCCCAGGGTATGAGGTATAAGAACCTTATGGTGTAATGGACCAAGAATGTGAATGGGCAATCAAGGATCCAGAATTCTAATCCTGGCTTTGTCATGAGCATGTTATACAATCTGGGGCAAGTCATTTTTAAGAATGACTTTTACTAATTTTTTATATCCTTCCAAGTAGTGTTGGACCAGAATGATTTTGAAGGGCATTTGTCTATTCTCCAGGTACAAAGAGCCTTCTGTGTGACAAATATCATGATAGATACTTGAAATAAGCTGATGATTGGGCAAACTTGGAATCTGCACTCATGGAGCTTACATTTCAATGAGGAGGACAGACATTTATTTAAAATTGGCATGAATATACAGATGCGACAAATGTAAGCAGGGAAAAGAACAGTGTGTTTTGGAGCATGTGACCAAAATTTCTTCTATGTTGTAAATACCAAGGATAATTATTAAAATTTTCTCTGGGGACAACCTAGAAATTCACAGTAGGGTAAAATCATAATACGAGAAAATCTGTCTTCTGATTATAAAGCTGTAGCAATGGATAAAAAGCAGATTGGCATAACCTTACCTGCCTTTTGGCTTTCCAAGAATTTATGGTCAGGTGAAGGTGCACAGACACCTGGTTTACCTACACTGATACCCACTGAACCAAAAAAAATGGCTTTAACTTGGAAAGGTTAGTAGTAGATAGGATGGTAATTAATTCCTTCATTTTCTCCTGAAAATAGTGAGGTTTGTGTTGAATAAGAGTCAAAACTTTCTGCCTGGTGGTACCGAACAGGACCTGGATCTTTGACATTCACTGATAATGATGAAATGTAGCACAGCTAGTCATCTGCTCAGAGAGTTTAGCTAGAGATAATAAAAGATACACCACATAACTTCTAAGGTCCCTATACACCCTCCAAGCCTATGAAAATGATTGAATACAAATGAGAATAAATGTAGGTAATTGAAGTCCATTTGATTTGTAAATGTGAGTGATACAGGCTCTGGTGGCGGGCTTTGTGGCATCTTATCAATTTTTGGGTGTAAATGAATGTTAACTGTAGTTTTAAGGTTGCGTGCCTGTTCCCGTCATATGAGAAGACCTTTAACTTACCTCGATAACATAAATTATGCCCATAAAACTTGTATTCCCTATTAACATGGTTTTTCACTGTACTATATGCGTTTTTTTCTAATCAGCCACACACTGAATGGAAAGAGTGCATCCAGTCAGGGCATGATGCTGGATTTTCAGTTATGTGAAGCGAAGAATCAGGTCTAGGGATGGAGAAGGAG